GGGGTGAAGGGGGTGTCGCTCCGCCGCCCCCCCCAAATCGCCGCTGCCCGAGCGGAACCTGTGGCCCGGCGGTGCGCGCACGCCTGTCCCTGTGATCGCATCCCTTCTCAGAGACGCCTGCGGGAGCCAGGGCTGCGGGAAAGGGGGAAGAACCAGCCGGTTTGGATAATCTGGAGAATCAAAGTGCTGTGCCTCAGGGAAATGGTACGCGTGGTTTCCCCGCAGGGCTGTACTCCTAACGGGATTGCAGCACCCAGCTCCAGTTGAAGACCAGCCTGAGCAGGTCCCAGCCCGTGGAAAGCTGACGCTGACTGTAGGGATCCAACTGTTCTGTCACAAGAGGGTAAAGGTGGCTTTTAGCTTGAGCAAAGCTGCTTGAATGTGGTTAGTGCTACTTGAGCATGTTGTGCAAGCCACTAAAAATTGATTGGGATGTATGTGGGCAGCTGCAAGCAGGAGTCTGTCAGGGACCTTGGTGTGTGCCGGTGCCGTCCTGTGTCACCCTCCCATTCTTCCTCCATGACTTTGTGGCATCAGGCGGATGAAGGGCCACCTTCAGCTGAGCAGTAAGGACAGTGGGTTAAAGCATGGAGGTCTTAAGTTTCCAGATGTCTGTAACTGTCCTATGCCCTGGCTTGGACCCTGCTCTTGATATCCTCTTCTGATTGCTTCCAGGGCAGTAGTAACTAAAGATCCTCTGCTCCTGGGAGGAATAATCAGGTGAGAGAGCATTTGCTGAAACTGCCAGAAAATCATGGGCTAGGACTGCATCTCATTGCAGGGGGAGGCATGCGTGAAGCCGCTCACTGTCATGCACATCAAAGCAGGTTTCCAGCTTGCATAGGGAAAACTGAAGAACAGCAACAGAGGTTTCAGAAATGGAGAGGAAGACCCACTTCAGGGAGCTGGACCAGTTACGCCAAGGTCCTGGGCACTTAGACCCACCACCTTGCATGCAAGAAGAGCAAGGATGGCTGCAGTGGTTGAACACAGATGCAGTCAGTTCTTGGCAGTGGCACAGACACTGGTGAGACCGTTGGCTGCTGACAGCCAGGGCTTCTTGTGTTCAGGATCTGCAGGATGGAAAATTGGAAGACAGTGGGAAGAAAGATGCATCTGACATTGTTAGGCTTGTCCAGAGCCAGGTGCCAACTGGAGGAATAGGGCCAGGGGTGTGCTTCTTACTCATCCATTCACCCAGGAAAACATTTTCATGATGGGAGGAGGTGTTTTGGTCATAGAACCTTGTTTGCCACTGACTTGTGACTTCTGCTAGCTTGGCCCCACTTGCTGTGCATTTGTTTTTTGTTCTTCCCATGTACTGGTTTTGAAGACAATTGAGTGGCTTTTATTTACTGGTTAATGATGGAGCAGTAAGATAACTGAGTCCCCCGTCAAACAAACTCCTTTAAGTCAGGTAGCACTCTGCTGCTCTCTTAAGTGCATGTCAGATCTGAGATGAGGTTGAATTTTTGTATTTGGAGAAGTTGCACATTTTTCCTTAGTACCTCTGAAGGTGGCTACCCTTTCAGGCCCGTCGGGTTTCAGTGAACATAAACCTGTGTTGCTGGAGACAGCCGTAGGAATTTGGATGCCTGCACACCTGCTGAAGAGGCAATTTTGCTGAGACTTTTGTCTCCTTGAAGCACTTCGACATCTTGATATGACCCCACTGCTGACAGTC